TTCTGAATTCGGGAGCACTCAGCTAGGGCAAACCGTGCTCTAGAGAAATTGTTTCAGTCTGCAGTCTGATTAAAGGCTTCCTTAAACAAATTGGTGTGGTGTGGTCCATCTTCACAACTAATGTGAGAAATTTTAAGGACTTAATACCAAGGGTTTTGAAATCTTCAAAAGCTAAGGCAGTGATGGCAGAACAGTGTTACTGCCTTTATCAGCTCATTTCTAAACTCAACATGTCGCAAGATGGTCTGCAGAAATGATCATCTCAATGAAAATCTTGCAAACCAGCCTCAATCAAGTTGTGTGCTTCGTTTCAGTTGGGGTTTGCTCCTAAAGCACAGACCTGTGGTGAGTGTACTCTCACCTGTAACTCTCTTCTTGTCAGCCTTGTAGAGAATCTTTTGAAGGAAAAAAAAGAAACAAGAACATGGTCACTGCATTGTACCCTCTGTCCCCCCGCTCCAAAGTTAGATCTGCTCTACCACAAACAAAAAGCCTCCAAATTCTCTCTCTTTGGAAGGCTAGCAGAAGAATCCTCTATACAGGGGTTTCTATACCTGTGCATTGTTACTGCTTATTTATTAGTTCTATTTCAAGCTTTGCATTTTTTTCATTGTGCTGGTTTGGGCAGGGGTAGAGTCCACTTTCTCCACAGTAGCTGGCACGGGGCCACGGTTTGGGTCTGTGCTGGAAACGGTGTTGATAACCCCGGGATGGGTTCGTTCCCGCTGAGCGGGGCTCGCACAGAGCCAAGGCCGTTTCTGCCTCTCACCCCACCCCACCAGCGAGGGGCTGGGGGGCACAAGGAGCTGGGAGGGGACACGGCCGGGGCGGCTGACCCCCACTGACCCCAGGGACATTCCACACCAAATTCCACGTCGTGCTCAGGGTAGAGAGCTGGGGGAAGGAGGAGGAAGGGGGGGACATTGGGGGCGATGGCGTTTGCCTTCCCAAGTCACCGTTAGGCGTGATGGAGCCCGGCTGTCCTGGGGACGGCTGAGCACCCGCCTGCCCTGGGGGGGAGGGAATGAATTCCTTGCTTTGCTTTGCTTTGCTTGCACACGGGGCTTTTGCTTCACCCATTAAACTGCCTTGATCTCAACCCGTGAATGTTCTCATTTTTGCTCTTCCAATTCTCTCCCCCATCCCACCAGGGGAGAGTGAGCAAGCGGCTGTGCTGTGCTTAGTTTCTGGCTGAGGTTAAACCACAATATTGATCCTGGTATGAGTCATTATAAAATGCAGAATTAATTTTTATTTTGGGGTTCAGTGAGATCTAAACTATTGTGACGAACAAGATTAACAGATTTATATTTTTTTGTATCATGACAAGCATTTTCCCCTTCCATGACTATGAACATAGTGTAAATATTGGTGTTATAAAAGTTGCAATTTTACTTATGAGGCAAATATTTGAATTAAATCCAGTAGAACAAGTAGAAACTGTGGTTTTGGTACTAATACATCACTGGTTTAGGAAAGGGAAGGGCTACCGATGCCCCACCCTGCTCATTTCTGTGGGAAAGGCTTCAGCTACCCTCTTTCCTCTCCAGATCCAGACTCCAGAAAAGTCCTCCTGCCGATGAAGCTAAGGGAAGCTGATTGCAGCATCTTGTGGGAAGCGGCAACTCACCTGAAGAAGCGGCCTCACCATTAGATGTTGAGAAGGTCCTAAGGTAGATCGCACTGATGATCTGGGTTAGCTCAAAGTCCCCAAATACAAACTTGAATTTTCATATGTGAATAACGTCACTGCATTGCTTTGCTAAGGAAAGGTGCAGTGTAATGACAGTTTTCCTCCTGGGCACTTAAAAAAGTTAATTGCTGCTACTCAGTTTTTAGACTTGCAAAAGTACAGGAATCTTAATAGGCAGAGGAACCCGTGGAGTAGAAGTACTGCCGCATTTATTTTGAGAAAGCAATAATGTGAGCGCATAGTTTATTTTTTCTAGCATTTATTTGACTATCTTCTAGCAATAAGAAAAAAAAATCCTCTGGTTCTATACTCTTGCTATATTTTGAAGCGGCTCAGATGTAAAATGTTGTCACATGAGGCCTGTTTCCAAAGATAAGCCTTTGTATCTCACAGCACAAGTTCTTTCTGCTCAGGCACTGTTTCGTTTAGCTGTACTTACGCATCTTCCTTGGCAAGATGTTCATACGCCTTGAGACTTTCACCTGTTCTGCCATGCAGTGTGGATAACAGAAGTGCTTAAAATTAGCAAAATAGCCAGTGAAGAATCAGGTGGGGTTTCTTCACAGGTACAAGCACTACCTTTAGCCAGTGTTTCACACACACAGACCCAAAGAAGATTAATGAGCATGGAAGGCGGGTACAAGCATTTAAGGGTGGATGCCCCCAGTTCCCCTGACTTCAAATTTCTGCCTGGCTATAGGAAAGGCTTTTTTTATTTTTGTGGCAACTGAGGCAAAAATGAATTACCAAAACAACCTCAATCAACACAGCAAAGTGAATCATTTCCCAAACCACTTTACCCACCCTTGGGCCTTTCTGGTTGAAGTATCATGACACAGTGGTTCTTATAAGGCGCTTTTGTAAGAAAATATTTGTATTATCCCATGCATCAGCAGCGGTGGTACCAACATATCCCTCTGAGGGCCAGGAGGAATTTGGTTTTTACAGGCTTTGGATTTTTTTAAATCCTTATCCTGTCCTAAATACAGGAAAATAGCATTCACTTCTCTTTGTGTAGGGTTTGTCTCAGGGTGCTATTTTCTGGTTTAGACTGAAGGAAAACTATTTTGGTTTGGTCCCGACTTAGAAGGAAAAGATCATTGTAGAAGGTTGGTGCTGTGAAAACTGAAATAAACCTTCAGGTTTTTCCCTGGAAGGGGCTGCCCAGGAAGTGGTGGAGTCCCCACCCCTGGAGGCATTTAAAAGCCGTGCAGACCAGATGCTTAGGGACGTGGTTTGGCAGTGGACATGGCAGTGCGAGGTTCACAGCTGGACTCAATGGTCTTAAAAGTTTTTTCCAACCTAAACAATTCTATGATTCTTGAGTCTTATTTAGCCTAAATGAAGACTCTGCGTGTAGCTGGCATACCAAATTTCAAGGAACTGAAAGAGATCAGCTGATGGTAATGAAGAACGGTGTCATCCTAGCTTTAACTTAGCTGATCTCCCCACAGGTCAGTGATCTACAGGGGAGGCTGAATGGTTATCTGAAAGTAAGCACAATTGGGTGTGGGGGCTAAAATATGATATAGCGGTGGTTAGTGAACACATTTTGGGGCCATGTGGATCTAATGCTGAATATCACGGTTATAAGAAAAAGGTTTCTACACCACTAAGTCAAGTTCAAAGAATTCTTATATAGAGAGGGAAGTAGAGTTGCCTTGCTCGGCAAAAAATCATATGGGTGATTATCAATGGAAAGATTTGTGGCTGAAAGGATGTGAGGCGGTGTGAGCCAATACAGGTAGCACCAGGGTCAACTACAGAAACAAGTGTGACATCTACTTTTGGCTGTATCTGAGTTTTGGGCAGCCTGCATAAGTTATCGCAGGCTGGACGTTTTAAAGTAATAGTGAGCAGCTATAGGTCCAGACAGCCTCAGTGAGAACCGCAGCTCCTCTTTGCTCTCTGAGCACCCAGTCCGACCAGTACGCACTTGTGCCCGACTGGCACCCCAGGAAGAAGGGCTGGCGGAGGGGTGACATGAGCAGAAAGGTCCATCTGCGTGCCCTGCCCATGCTGCGAGTGCCTCCTGCAGCACCCTAGTCCCCGGCGGGGCCGTGGGGATGCTGGTGCCATGGGTCTGTTGGAGTGCGGGGCACTGAGCTGTTAGCTCTTTCCGGAAGGTCTGTCCTTCTGGCTGTTTTTCTGGGTCATCAAATGCCGCCATTACTGCTGGGTATAGGTGCAGATTTAAAGACAAGGAAAGTCAGCGTTCATTTGGAGTCAGATCCCAAAGGCTCTCGAAAGCTAAAGCCGTGAGTTTCCGTGCCTGTATTTGGCACGTGGCGCGCACGGCTTGGCTGAGTCCTGCTATAGTGTTACTGCATAAGCACCACTTCAGCTCGCCCTCCGCGGCTGTTCAGCAGAAGCTAACACGCTCCTTTTAGGAACATGCTGATACGCGCTCACCAGGAAGCCGATACATGTAAGTTACTGCCTGAGGTCAAAAATACTATCCAGAGTAATTACCTCGACAAAAGGTATCAGTAAGAAATACATACTTAGCAATAATAATTGCAGTGCCAAGATTTCATTATTTTAAATACTTCCCCCAAGTGTGTAGGCCAGCCAAGACACTGCAACAATTCTGTTTAATAGTAGCGTAAGTTGCTGTTCCCTCCTACGTTACTCGGTATAGCAACATACTGAAATCAAGCTTGTAACATATATATTTGCAGAATAATTTTTATATCGCATTAACAAGCTTTGACACTAATGCTAATTCTTCATGAGAAGAAACATGACAAGTAGGCTGACTTAATACGCATTTAGTGCTAAAAGATTTCTAGCACATGCAGTGGGACTTTTATTACTGTTTGACAGCTTTGGAAATCTAAACGCTCGGCTTAGTCACAGAGGTGCCGACAGCAGCACAGCTTTGCCCTCCTTCACCTAAACCGCGGTCCTGATGCAGCGACCATTTCTTTGTGTAAGGGCACAGACATTTAATCCCCCTGCCCGTTTTATCCGAGGTCTCTCTCTGCAGACACTGCAGAGTGCGGAGCGGACGGGGGCGCGGAAATGGGATAACGCGGGTTTGCTGGGTTGTTAAACTGAACAACTAAGTCAACATTCCTGACAGACATTGCAAAGGGTGCAAAGGCTTTGGGGGAGGTTGTTGCTGTCTGATAAGCGACAACCTGACCTTAATCAACGAAACTTAACATCACAAAGATGAAGTGGCAACAGAACTCGTTTTAGTAACGGGAAAACCCAACCAAGAAAGGGGGGATTTGCACAGTTCGGGGGGGAAAAGGGGTAAGAGCACCCAGAAACTATTACTCGTGGCGCAAAGGGCCGGGGTTCAGGCCTGTTCCGCCACCCGAGGCCCGCCGGGTCCAAAGCCAGCTGCAGCCTGAGCAAAGAAGCGGTCCCTCTGTCCCTCCCGCCCCGGGCCGCCCGGCTCTTCTGCTCCTGCAGCAGCCCCGGCCCCGCTCCGCTCCGGCGCCTGCACCAGGGACCTGAGGAGGACCCAGCCCGTGGCGGCGGAAGGAGGGGGCAAGAGCCAAGTGCTGGCAAGGTGACGGCCCGTGTCCTTCAGCAGCAAAGCCAGGCCTGTGGAAACGGCACCACGCTCCTGTCCAGTTTGGCTGGGGAGCTGGGGGTGCTCGGAGAGGGGCTCCCGAGCTGCGGCGTGCGCAGCGCTTCGCATGACGGAGTCGCGCCGCCAGCCAGCAGCCAAGTCCTGCTGTACTACGCGTGCTAGATAAAGGTGTGGAACGTGCCAGTCAGGCAGCTCCCAGTTACAGGCCCCGTACGTTCAGCGCTCGGAGGAGCTGGCGCGGAGACAGGCTGCATCACGCCCTGCCAGACGATGCTTTTCAGCTCTTCAGCGCACTGGGAGGGGGAAAGGGCACCTCTAGGGGTTAACGCGCTACAGTGAGGACACTGAACACAATTTCGATGCTCACAAAGATAGCAGGTATTTATCTGACAAGCCTCTCAGATGAACCTGTGAGAAGAAGTGGGAGGTGGGTTTGGTACCAGAGTTGCTTTTCCTTCTCTCACAATTAATCACTGGCCTGCAAGAAGGGAGTGTCCTTCTTCCCCTCTCACCCGTGTCTCTGCCCCACACCCTGGGAAAGGGCTGCAGTTCTTCTCGCCGGGGCTTTGCTGTAAAGCAATGTTAGTGGACAAGCGGGAGGAAAACCAGACACTTACTGACAGCTACACTTGGGCGAAAAAAAGGGAGAGAAATCCGTAGGTATCATCTTTCCTCGTTTTCTCCTGCTAGCATACAGGCAATTGAAACAGAAAACCAGAGAGATGCCCAGGGGTGGGGAAGCAAATCCCAGACGGGGCATGAGCTCAGTCTGTCAGCAATGTTGACTTGGTTGTCCAGTTCAACAACCCAGCAAATACGCATTATCCCATTTCTGTGCTCCTGTCCACTCTGCTCCTCGACATGGGTTTGACCCAGGGAAACTGGAAGAAGCAGTGAAACACACTCCTGGAAAGCACGTTCCCAGGAGTTTTTCCCACTGCCGCTGCCTGGTGGGGCGCTGTACAGCTGTGGGCAGAGCGCCTGCCTGTTCTTGCTTTGGTGCACAGCCACCTCATTCAAGCAACCCTTTGCTGGTCCTGCGGCAGTGCAGGGCGGGGGGGCAGGTAGAAAGCAGAGCAAACAGCGAGAACTTGAACTTGGCCTCCAGGCAAGCATAACTTTGGCCCCAACCAGGCCTTGGTCTGCGCGCAAAATGAGGCGATCAGCATTGCTTCTTTTTCTTGTCCCCTATG